ACAGCTGATGCTCTCGTTCAACTCAATGGAGCTGAAGGATGCAGGGGCTACAGGCACCCGGCAGGACCCATGTAAGTTGGCAAACCATTCTAGAAACGGTTTGACAAATTGCACTGTGTTGGCACCAGTGCACCCCTGGCACCACAATCATTACCCTGGGCTGTAGTGGTTATGGTGCTTGGAGTGTTCCTTTAGATGACAGGTATGACACTTGTATCCAATTAAACTTGTAAAGAAATATGAGTGTGAAGTAGTGCTGTAGACTGGAATGCGGTGTGGAAGCAATAGTTATATGATGAGGGTTGACACACCTAATGATAATGCATTGAGGAGACTTAGGGGGCAGTTGAGAAACCATGACTACTATATGACCCATTCAGCCAATGAATGGCATTAAATAATGGATGCAATTGATATTACTAGTGTTGAAATAGAGATTAATCAAACATATTTGGGTGATCCCTAACTTTTGACTAAATCTGCAATAAAACACATTTTAAAAAAAAACCCTGTACTTCTGATCCTAGCGTGTTATGCAATCTATTTAGATGTTCGGACAATCCAGAAGTTATAAAAAAAATTTTTGGGGGAGGGCTAGTGTTCATTGTGAGGAACACGGCGCCACTCGGCGTCTCCTCAAAGACATACAATCATTGCATCTCTATGGGGAGCATTCAGTGTCTCCATGCCAGTGTTAATTTTGTCTAATACTAGACTAAAAGAAAAGGAAAGAAAAAAATAATATTTTCTTATGCGTGTGATTTGAGGTGCTTAGTCTATGTAATATAGTATCTAATTTAGTTAAGCAGCTGTAGCACTCTTAGGGTCCTCCTATTTACCCAGAAAACAGAGATGCAAGTAGACACCACTTTGTGTGAACACTAGTGTTCATTGTGAGGAACATGGCGCCAATCGGCATCTCCTCAAAGATTTACAATCATTGCATCTCTATGGGGAGCATTCAGTGTCTCCATGCCAGTGTTAATTTTGTCGAATAACAATTTTAGTCAGACTTTAGTCGACCAAACCTTTTGAGATTTAGTTGACTAAAACTAGACTAAAACTAAAACAAAATTACATGACTAAAATACGACTAAAACTAAACAAGTCAAAAGACTACGACTAAAACTAAATTGAAATTTGCCGCCAAAATTAACACTGCACAGAGTTGCTGTGGAAGGAGAAAAACAGACAGACAGTGGCTTGGGAGAGAGACAACTAGAGGGGCTGGAGGGCAGGGCCGGATTAACATAGGGGCTTGTAGGCCCAATTAAAAAAAAAAAGTGTTTTTTTTTTACACACACTACTCTTAGGTATTTGAGGCTCCCTGGCCGTGCCGGTATTGCAGTAAAACCGGCAATGCAAATGCTGATATTTTTCTCAGTATAAACAGAGATTACTCTGCAATACAAGCACCAGCCAGTAGTGATCACTGTGTGTCGAGAGAAGCAGGGATAGGAAGTTACAGCAGATCCCTCCCTGCCTCTCTCTACTCACTAATCCACAGGGAGCAGCTAAACAACACAGAGAGTTCAGACAGCAGCTCCCAGCCTGTAGAGACAGCTCAGGGAAGTGAGGGATGAGGGGAAAGGCAGCAGAGAGACATGGGGACACTGAGACACTAAGGGACACAGACACTAGGGGACACTGGGAGACCTGGGGACACTGAGACACTTGGGGACACTGGGAATCATGGGGACACTGAAACACTAAGGGACACTGGGAGACCTGGGGACACTGAGACACTTGGGGACACTGGGAAACATGGGGACACTGAGACACTAGGGACACTGTGAGACATGGGGACACTGAGACACATGGGGACGCTGTGAGACATAGGGACATTGGAATACACATTGGGATACGGAGATACTAGGGACACAGCTTTTCCATGTCTCCCAGTATCTCAGTGTCCCCATGGCTCCCAGTGTTCCCTAGTCTCCCAGTGTCTGTGTCCCCATGTCTCTGTGCCCCTAGTGCCTGTGTGCCAATGTCTCCCAGTGTCCCCAAATGTCTGTGTCCCCGTGTCTCTCAGTGTCCACAAGTCTCCCAGCCAGTGTCCCTAGTGTCTCAGTGTCCCTATGTCTCCCAGTGTCCCCATGTCTGGATCCACAAGTGCCTCCTCGTCTCTCAGTGTCCCCAAGTGTCTTAGTGTCGCGGGTCTCTGTGTTCCCATGTCTCACTGTGTCCCCATGTCTCCTATCTCCTAATGACACAGGACACACTGAGACATGGGGACACTGGGAGAAATGGGGACACTGAGACACTGGGAGACTAGGGGACTGAGCGACATGGGGACACTGACACTGTGATACATAGGGACACTGATGCCAGGCTGGCCTTCCAATTCTGTTTGCCCTTTTTCGCAGTTCTGGTCACGTGATTTGCGTCAGTGGCACATCCTTTTACCCTGCCCATTGACTTCTTGCTTCACTGGACACTGCTGTTAGGGGGTGTGGATTTACTTGAAAGATGAAAGCATGAATTAGAGAGAGATTAGCATATAGTATGTGTTTCTTATAGCTGCATCCTTTGAGTTTCCCTCCAGCACCATCTCTATCAGATACACGACGCTTGAGAGGTATGACTAGTGTTTTTGGTCGATAAGATTCTGTAATTAGGCCCAATCATAATTGTCAGCACCAGGCCCACTGGGCTCTTAATCTGGCCCTGCTGGAGGGACACAAAGAGACACAGAGAGGCTGGGGAAGGGGCAAAAGAGACAGATAGAGGCTTTAACTAAAAACATTAGATTTTAACATTAGATTTTGTGTTGACTAAAATCAATTTGAGATTTAGTCGACTAAAACCTACTGGAGATTTAGTCGATTAATACTAGACTAAAAGAAAAGGAAAGAAAAAAATAATATTTTCTTATGCGGGTGATTTGAGGCGCTTAGTCTATCTAATATAATATCTAATTTAGTTAAGCAGCTGTAGCACTCTTAGGGTCCTCCTATTTACCCAGAAAGCAGAAATGCAAGTAGACACCACTTTGTGTGAAAACTAGGTTTAGATGGTAATCCCCTTAATACACACACAGTAGAATATAGTGCAGCGCAAGACAAGGCTTACCCATACAATATGGGGCGTTTCTCATATATAGCCAAAAAGACAAAAAATAGAGAAATACGTAATAGTACAATATTGTTATAAACAACTGGTATATACACTAAAAATTAGAGAATTTTATGCTCACAAATCAAGAGCCTTTTAGACGCTATGGCTCTGAACGTATGCGCTTGCTGTGCCTTTAAGGTAGCAACAGTGACCTCCTTGTTAGTCCCTTTCACAAGTTTGGATATGATGTGTGTACATGGAAGACATAAACAAGCGGCAGGAATAGTGCAGATGGTAAAAAAAAAAACTCGTTGGGTCACAACTTTAAGAGTAAGGTAGAAGTTGCTTACCTTACTATTAAAGTTGTGACCCAAAGAGTTTTTTTTACCATCTGTACTATTCCTGATACTTAAAGGGACTCTCCAGTGCAAGGAAAACAAACCTAGTTTCCTGGCACTGCGGGATATTGCAGTGCCCCCTCCCTTCCACCCCCATCCCATGTTGCTGAAGGGGGTTAATACTCCTTCAGTGACTTACCTGAATCAAGAACCGATGTCCCTCGGTGCTGGGTCAGGCTCCGCCTATGCTCCTTTCTCAATGCTTTCCTATGGGGATTTCGGCGACGCTGGAGGTCCTCATGCATAGCATGAGGACGTCCATCGTTGTTTAAAACACTTTTAAGAATACGGAAATCCCTCTAGTTGTTGTCGGATAGACAGCCACTACTGGATGACTTAACCCTGCAAGGTAATTATTGCAGTTTACAAAAACTGCAATAATTACACTTGCAGGATTAAGGGTGATGGGAGTTGGCACCCAGACCACTCCAAAGGGCAGAAGTGGTCTGGGTGCCTGGAGAGTCCCTTTAAAATATTATATACACTGCTCAAAAAAATAAAGGGAACACAAAAATAACACATCCTAAATCTGAATGAATTAAATATTCTTCTGAGATACTTTGTTCTTTACATAGTTGAATATGCTGACAACAAAATCACACAAAAATAAAAAAATGGAAATCAAATTTTTCAACCCATGGAGGTCTGGATTTGGAGTCACACTCAAAATTAAAGTGGAAAAACACACTACAGGCTGATCCAACTTTCATGTAATGTCCTTAAAACAAGTCAAAATGAGGCTCAGTAGTGTGTGTGGCCTCCACGTGCCTGTATGACCTCCCTACAACCAGGGCCGGATTAACATAGGGGCTGATGGAGCTGCAGCTCCAGGCCCAGGCCCATGGAATAGGCCTATTGATTTTTTTTTTTTTTTTACATTTTTTTTTCACATTTTCTTTTTTCACACACTACTCTTAGGGATTCCACCTGGCTTTTATTTTATTGGCACAGCCAGTATTTGAGGCTGCCTGGCTAGTGCCAATATTGCAGTGATACTGGCAATACAAATTCTGGTATTTTTCTCAGTATAAACAAGAGATTACTCTGCAATACCAGCACTGGCCAGTAGGGGTCGCTGTGTGTGGAGACAGACAGGGATAGAAAGTTCCAGCATATCCCTCCCTGCCATTCTATACTCACTGATCTGCAGGGGTGGAGCTACAGAGAGTCCAGACAGCAGCTCCCACCCTGCAGAGACAGCCTACAGCTTAGGAAAGTAAGGGATGGGGGGGAAAGGCTGCAAGGAGAGATACACTGAGACACTGGGAGACATTATGGCAGACACTAAGGGACATTGGGAGACATTATGACACAGACACATGGGGACACAGTGTCCCTATGTCTCCCAGCCAGTGTCCCTGGTGTCTCAGTGCCCCTTAGTCTCCCAGTGCCCCTTAGTCTCCCAGTGACCCCTAGTCTCCCAGTGCCCCCAGTCTGCCAGTGTCTCACTATCCCCATGTCTCCTAGTGCCTCCATGTCTCTCAGTGCCTCAAGTGTCACAATGTCCCCATGTCTCCAAGCTAGTGTCCCTAGTGTCTGTGGCCCTGGTGTCTCAGTGTCCCCATGTCTCCCAGTGCCTCCATGTCTCAATGTCCCCATGTCCTCCAGCCAGTGTCTCTAGTGTCTGTGTCCCCATGTCTTCAAGTGTCCCCTATTTTCCCATTGTCCCCATGTGTCCCAGCCAGAGTCCCCTAGTCTCCCAGTGTAACTGGTGTCTCTGTGTCCCTAGGTCTCCCCGTCTTCCTAGTGTCCTAGTGACATGGGGACCCTGGGATACATGGGGACACAGGGAGACATGGGGCATTGAGACACTGTGATACATAGGACCACTGAGACCTGGAGTAATCGACACATGGGGGCACTGGGAGGAATCCATCTATACAGCAGAATCAAACTAAGTAGTTTTTTGGTGATTTTACAGAATTTTCTCTTATGTCACTCCTTGTGATTTACATCATGTGATGTCACCCATACATATTTAATTATACAAATTAGTAAGGCCGGTATGTTTTTCCAAGAAAGGTGGCAACCCTAACTACTTTTCACATACTCTTACTTAAGTATGGAAACTTAAGAGGGTTGTATGGGAACAAAACTTGTGTGGACTGGCTGACAATGAATATAGTTAAAGGGACACCAGAGTTACCAGGACAACTACAGCTTATTGAATTTGTTCTGGTGAGTAGAATGTATGTGTATGTGGTGAGCAGAATCATTACCGTCAGGCTTTTTGCTGTAAACACTGTCTTTTCAGAGAAAATGCAGTCTTTACATTACAGCCTAGTGATAACTTCACTGGCCACTCCTTAGATGGCTGTTAGAGATCCTTCCTGGGTCATGGCTGCCTAACATGCATCCAAACATTCAGTGTCTCCTCCCTCTGCATGCAGACACTGAACTTATCTCATAGAGATTCATTAATTCAATTCATCTATATAAGGAGATGCTGATTGGCTAGGGCTGTGTTTGAATCATGCTGGCTCTGACCCTGATCTGCCTCTTTGTCAGTCTCAGCCAATCCTATGGGGAAGCACTGTGATTGGATCAGGCCACCACTTCTAATGATGTTAGCAGACTGCTTGTTTTTATGAGTCTAACAGCATGCAGAGTTACAGCTTCAGGCTTGAATATAGTAAGATTTTGCTATATTTATGGAGGCATGAGGGGCCCAGGGGGGCTAGATGGTGGTGTTAACACTATAGGGTCATGAATTCATGTTTGTGTTCCTGACCCTATAGTGATCCTTTAAGGTAATGCTGACTTTGGTCTCTCTAACACTGTGGCATGTTCCATTTCTTCTACACTCACTACATACAGCTTTTCTCTGTCCCAGACTATGTACCAGGAGCTTCTGCCTGCTAGTAAGAAGGTAAGAAGACAAGTGGACCAGCGAGTGCTAGGGGACAGTCCTTAGAAAGCGTTGAGTGAGCGCATCATTAGATGCATTTATGCCAAGCTCAGGTTGCTGTCTGCATAGTATGCCCTTAGTTGGCCAGTTGCATAATTGGCAGGCATCCTGACATGCATTCATGCCAGACTGGCCTTCTAATTCTTTGGGCAGACATACCCTCTTTTTGGGCATGTTCGCCCCTTTTGGCATGTTATGTGATTTGTGTCAGTGGCACACCCTTTTACCATGCCCATTGACTTCCTGCTTGACTGGACACTGCTGTTAGCTGTTATGGATTTACTTGAAAGATGAAAACATAAATTAGAGGGAGATTAGCCTAGGGTATGTGTTTTCTTATAGCTGCTGTTTTCTTTATCTCCAGCACCATCTCCATCAAATACATGACGCTTGTGAGTGTTTTATTGTTTTTGGTCGATATGATTCTGTAATTAGGCCCATCATAATTGTCAGCACCAGGCCCACTGGGCTCTTAATCTGGCCCTGCCTACAACACCTGTGCATGCTCCTGATGAGGTGGCGGATGGCCTCCTGAGGGATCTCCTCCCAGACCTGGACTTAAGCATCTGCCAACTCCTGGACAGTCTGTGGTGCAACATGACGTTGGTGGATGGAGTGAGACATGATGTCCCAGATGTGCTCAATTGGATTCAGGTCTGGGGAACGGGCGGGCCAGTCCTTAGCATCAATGCCTTCATCTTGCAGGAACTGCTGACACACTCTAGCCACATGAAGTCTAGCATTGTCTTGCATTAGGAGGATCCCAGGGCTACCCGCACCAGCATATGATCTCACAAGGGGTCTGAGGATCTCATCTCGGTACCTAATGGCAGTCAGGCTACCTCTGGCGAGCACATGGAGGGCTGTGCGGCCCCCCAAAGAAATGCCACCCTACACCATTACTGACCCACTGCCAAACCAGTCATGCTGGAGGATGTTGCAGGCAGCAGAACATTCTCCACGGCGTCTCCAGACTCTGTCACGTCTTTCACATGTGTTCAGTGTGAACCTGTTTTCATTTGTGAAGAGCACAGGGCGCCAGTGGCGAATTTGCCAATCTTTGCCAATCTCTGGCAAATGCGAAACGTCCTGCACGGTGTTGGGCTGTAAGCACAACCCCCACCTGTGGATGTCGGGCCCTCATACCACCCTGATGGAGTCTGTTTCTGACCGTTTGAGCAGACACATGCACATTTGTGGCCTGCTGGAGGTCATTTTGCAGAGCTCTGGCAGTGCTCCTCCTGTTCCTCCTTGCACAAAGGCAGAGGTAGCGGTCCTGCTGCTGGGTTGTTGCCCTCCTACGGCCTCCTCCATGTTTCCTGATGTACTGGCCTTTCTCCTGGTAGCGCCTCCATGCTCTGGACACTACGCTGACAGACACAGCAAACCTTCTTGCCACAGCTCGCATTGATGTGCCATCCTGGATGAGCTGCACTACCTGAGCCACTTGTGTGGGTTGTAGACTCCGTCTCATGCTACCACTAGAGTGAAACCACCGCCAGCATTCAAAAGTGACCAAAACATCAGCCAGGAAGCATAGGAACTGAGAAGTGGTCTGTGGTCACCACCTGCAGAACCACTCCTTTATTGGGGGTGTCTTGCTAATTGCCTATAATTTCCACCTGTTGTCTATCCCATTTGCACAACACCATGTGAAATTGATTGTCACTCAGTGTTGCTTCCTAAGTGGACAGTTTGATTTCACAGAAGTGTGACTGACTTGGAGTTACACTGTGTTGTTTAAGTGTTCCCTTTATTTTTTTGAGCAGTGTATATATACTTAATAATAATTTTATGCAAGGCTCTTCCTCTACTTTTCATAATTGATAACAGATGCACTACTTGATGAATTAGACACAGAGATTAGTTTGAATCCAGTTTTATTAAATTACTCTATATATTGTACCATCTTGCTTTTAGTTATTGTCCTGTAGGAATACTTTTACGATTATGAGAATAGTTGTTTATTCATTGTATCAGGTTATTCATTGTTATGGGTTCACAATACAACATGCTATGAAAGCTATTATTTCGATCATTGGATATGATCAAATCAATTACTATTGACTTCTCAGCACTTAATACTGGTATAAGAGTGAGTCTTTTTATATTTCTGACTGAGGGTACTGACAAGTTACATAGTTACATAGGCTGAAAAGAGACAAGCGTCAACCAAGGTCAGCCTTCCTCACATTTGTGTTTGCTGTTGATCCAAAAGAAGGTAAAAAAAACAAAAAAAAAACAGTTGATTTGCAACAAGCTAGGGAAAAAATCCCTCTTGACCCCAGAATGGTAGTCAGATTTATCCTTGGATCAAGAACCTATTACCCTACAGTTGAAAAATGTTATCATTGAATAATATGTACTGTGTTATGTATATCCCTTAAAGTAATTTAGGCCAACTTAGTGTTGTGTTTTGTGCTTGTGACCCTGCTGATATATACACAGAATATTTTAGCTGTTGAATATGGAAGGAAATTTGCCAAAACTCTATTGTAACACGTTTCCCTGAAGTCTAACTGTTATATGTGGCCACATCAAAGTCACTAACAGGAATTACTGTTATCACTTTTAAACAGCTGCACAAATTAATCTTTCACGTGGCACTTTATTGCACTCTGTAATTTAAAAATAATACACAGAAACTGTATCTGTTTGCATCATCCCAATTCCCATTCCATAATATTAACCCCAGAAAATCCTTAAATTATGCAAAAATATTGCACGTTTAGTGGAATTCTGGATGCTTGTCTTATGGATAATTGCCTTGGCTGGAGAAACCAAGGGTAGAAGCATGTGTACATACAATGATTCTTTTTCTGTACAATGATTGCGAAGGGAGAAACTATAAAAAGCCAGCAGTTCCTCTTAGTTTAGAGAGACTCCAAGTGCCTAGACTAGTGTTGTCCACAGATTCAGATCCCTTTGCACGCTGTAGTGGTTATGGGGCTCAGGAGCAGATCAGGAAAGGGTACGGGGAAGCAATACCTTCTGGGTGTCCTCAAATTCGTATGGTGGTGAGTCAATATGGAAAATATGATGACAGAAAACAAAATATAGTGTGGTATATTCTATAGGTGTTGAGGTAAAATAAGAGAAATGCCACTTACAATTTTCTGGAACTTATGTTCATATATGCGCTTGAGCGCTATGATTCCCATCTGTGGATATGTTGCTCAGCTTGGTTCCTTGTAGATGGTAGGTCAGGGTCAAGGGCCAGTTGAGGTGTCAAGAGTTCATGGGTACTCCCCTCTAAATTGTAGCGTTACAGTTATTCACCAATTATATAAAATGGGAATAAAAACAGAAAATAGTGCTCTTTTTTTGTTTTGTTGGTGTTTTAGTTGGTGTAAAAACATAGAATCAGGAAGGTCCATGAAAGGTAAAAACCTAGTTTAATTTAAAACAAAGTTAATACAACCAATCACTGGTGTACATACCGCGGTAGCAGGGGTCGCAGCTGCGACCAGGTATGTACGCAGTTTGCCAGCCTCTTCTCCTGGGGGGCCCAGGAGCTGGCCACCTCAGGGCCCCCCGAGGCTAGCAGTAGTTGTCTGTTTGTGGGCGGGCGGGCGGGCAGGCACGCGAGGGAGCTTTCTCCCCTGAGTGCTCTCTGCCCAGCTCCCTCACGGGCAGCGCAGCAATGCCGGAGCCGGAATATGATGTTACTCCTGCTCCAGCATCAGTAAGCAGCGCGCGAGGGAGCTGAACAGGAGGATCAGTGCTCCCTTGCCGCCTGCAGGACTGGCCAGCGGGCAGCCCCACTGGACCCCAGTGTATCCCCTCAGCACTCCCAAAGGTAGGGAGGCTGGGGGATAAAAAAAAAAAAAAATATGAGTGTGTGTGTATATGTGTGTCAGTGTGTGTGCTAAATATATCACACACAAACTGTAGCCATTACACTCAGAGGTTATCGTTCACAACCATGGTATCTGTTAATTAGAAAAAAAAACATAGTGACACCAGTTAAGACTCCTGTTTGTAATATGGTGAAGGGCTGCACTGCCCTGGGACTGCTTTGGGATGCATCCTTTAAGAGTTCTGCCATGGCCACATTAAGAGTCTAGCCGTGGTTGGGTGCAGATGCGGCCGCAAGAGTATGGAAGAGCACTCTCATGG